TTTCGAATAATAATAAATAGTCCCTATTAAATTCGAAGTTTCTGTGCTTTTTCTTAAAAAAATAAGTAGGGAACCTCAAAGTGGATAACCTTTTACGGTCGATAGCCCATCTAATTGAAGGTTTGAGTGCTCAAAAATGCAGTTCTTTCAGTAGATGGTTGAGAACTCGTATTAACGTGACGAAGAGTGTTCCGTATAACCATGCGAATTCTTAATTCAATTTTCCAAACACTAGATATAAGCTTCATCTGAGATGTCCTTCAGTACATTTCGGTTTCGGTTCATTTTTGAATAGCAATTCGCCACACTTTGGGACAGTTTTGACGTCATACATAATTCCATATACACAATTCCTCGTCACCAGTCATGATGCTTTAGATGAATGCAGGGTTCTTATCATCTTATTAAGCATATATTTAGCAATTCCTGTTGAAATCAGATGTTGAGATCCTCCGCCATCTTTCTGATGCCAACTAGAAAACTTTCAAGCACTGTTTCTTTTTCTTTGTTTCGCGCGTGAGGTATGTATGTAAATCGATGACTTTACGACCTTCATTTATTCCTTAGTGTCTCTCATTCGTAATAAAGTAGAATCTTCAAAACTATTCTGTAACATCTTCAACGATTCTGTAAACAAGATTTCGTTAGAAATTTTAAGCAAAAAAAAAAAAAAAAAATTGAATTAAAAATATTTTAAATTCATCGTAAACAAGAAGCTGCCAAACAAAAACTAATTAACATGTCAGGATGAAAATTCACATAAACATAAAAAATGTGTAGTCAAACAGACCAGTCTGAGTTGAATTTGATCACATAGTAGGATGTTCGATTAGGTTGAAAGAAAAGTTGTTGAACATACTGAGTAGTGATGCCGAAATTTCTCTATAAAACAAACTAGTTTTTGTTGTTGTTTTAGCGGCAGAGTTCTGTGCACTTGACAGGAAAAAAATCGGGGTCCGTTCCAGCTACGTAGGCCCGACTGAGAACAAAATATTTACCATTAACCACTCCCTGTTTTCATCTGATATGACAACGTGCGACTTCTTCCTTTTCGGCAAAATGCACTTGCCCACGAAAGGAAAGCGTTATGCAGACAGGCTTGCCCCGGCATACTGCCGGCCATACCGGAGCTAAAACACTCGTTCGACATGCTTTTGAGCCGTGCAAAAAGCTGTATTGAAGCAGAAGGAGACTATTTTGAATGAAATAAATGTATTTTGTCTTAAAGGTGCCAATGTGAATGCTTTTAAAGTTTCAAGAACTCAACTTGAAATTTAGAATCCGCAATTTGTACGATGGATGGTAATAATAGAAATTTGTAAGCAGCAAATGGTTAAGCATTCAAGCGTGAAAATAACCGATTGTTTGTTTGCCAAATAATTAATGAAGCAGAAAACAACATTCACTAACCAATTATATGGTTGCAATGTGCAGAGTGCCCTCATTTAAGCTATGTATGTGTAACATTTACTCATACAAGCAATAAATGAACTTTAAAGGAAAACGAATATGACTAAATTTGAGACTAGAAATGCTTTAAACTTTATAATGATGAGCAGGTGTTTGTGTGAATGGATAATTCCTGAATTTTATTTTAAATAATAAAACTGAATCTCTATATTCATCGTTCAAAAGTCATCTAAAGAGTGGCAGAACTACATTACGGTTATGGTAAATTGGAACATAAAGGAGTTTACAAACAAATGCTTTTTAATTCCTTCTTCATACTGATGATATTCATATCTTAGTTGGATTTTTACAAATCGATAACGAAATATATCTAAAATCATTTCGATTGAAACTCGCTCTAAATATATTCCGAATTATTGAATTCTTCTTCTTCTTTACTGGCGTAGAGAACGCTTACGCGATTATAGCCGAGTTAACAACAGAGCGCTTGCCGTTTCTTCTTTTCGCAAGGTGGAGTCAACTGGAGATTGCAAGCGAAGCCAGGTACTTCTCCATCTGGTCCATCCAACGGAGTGGAGGTCTCTCTCTTCCTCTACTTTCACCGGCGGATATTGCGTCGAATGTCAATATCGTCATATATCTCATACAACTCATCGTTCCATCGAATGCGATATTCGCCGTGGCCAACGCGCAAAGGACCGTAAATCTTTCGCAGAATTTTTCTCTCGAAAACTCGCAACTTCGACTCATCAGTTGTTGTCATCGTCCATGCCTCTGTACCATATTGCAGGACTGAGGTGTTGAGTGACTTTTAGAATTTGGTCTTTGTGTCGAGAGAGGTCTCTACTTCTCTTCTACTTACTCAGTCCCGAGTAGCATCTGTTGGCAAGAGCTACTTCGCGTTGGATTTCGGGAGTGCAATGATATTTGTTTGATATCAGGAGATATTTCGTCTAGCTCTCGTTCACTACCAGGCCCATTTGCTTCGCTGCCTTATTCATTCTGGTGAAAGCAGAACTAACAGTGTGGTTGTCAAAGAAAACCATTATCATCAGCTTACGCCAGCAGCTGTACACTCATATAGGAGATGGTACCTTCTCTGTTTAGTTCTGCAGCTCGAATTATTTTCTCCAGAAGAAGATTGAATGAATGAATGATAAAAGAAATCGCCTCGTCTGAAACTTCGTTTAGTATCGAACGGCTCGGGGAGGTCCATTCCGATTCTGACGAAGCTTTTGGTGTTGCTCAGACATCACTCAGACATCACGGCATAGACACAGCACATTTTCGTGCTGTCAAAAGCAGTTTTAAAAACCAGGAAGGAGTGGTGTGTGTCGATTCTCTTTTCACAGGTATTTGTATAGCTCGGCCGGCAATCCCTCGGCCCCGCCGCTTTGTTGTTCTTCAGACGAGTAATTGCTATTCGAACTTCTTCATGGTCGGGCAACGGAACGTCCGCTTCATCGTTATCGATTGGGGAATCGGGTTCGCTTTCTCTTGGCGTTATACTTTCACTGCCATTCAGCAGGTTGGCGAAGTGTTCTCTCCATAATTTTATTATGCTCTGGGCATCTGTCACTAAATCTCCTTTAGGAGTTCTAAAAAAGTATGCTCCGGTCTTGAAACATTCTGTTAGTCATCATAACTCATTTAATATAGTAACTTAAAAATTAATTTTAAACATTTTGCTAAACTCAAATGCGAAAAGAATTACTGAAACTCTGCTCTGCTCTTAAAGTTAACCCATATTTAAGAGTAATGATTTGGAAAACGACATATGACAGCAAAAGTCACAGGATAATTTCTAAACAATTCACAACAACATTGCACTTATGCACTTAAGACCATATGTATGTACTTAAGGGTGAACTTACGAGCAGTGCATAAGTGCAAATAATGGAATAAGTTGTGGTTGAAATCACAATGCTTGCGACATATTGGCAGAGCAGCAGCAATCAAATGCAGTTGCCGGCCACCAGAGAGCAGTTGTCATGTTGCATGCGTCATTTATCGCTAACCTACTTACATAACAACACATGTACACAAATATACATACATACATATGTATGTGCATAAATGTGGCTTGTGTTCATATAATTTTAAGTTCGCAAATATAAACTTATGTATTTATGAATATGCAAGTGTGTGGGTGTGTTTTGAATTTCATGCTTTTGCATTTGCTATGAAAGTTTACTTTCCATTAAAGACCAACAGCACTAACAACAACAACTCTGCTACAATAATAACACCGAGCGCATTTCGAGGCAACACACATATACATACATGGATGCTTTTGCACATGTGTCTCAAGTCCAATTGGGGCGAAAATTTCAGAAAATACACAAGGTTGATTGCATAAAATCAGTAAGTCACTCGGACATTTCGAAATTGCATGCATGGTTACGTGTATAAAGTACATATATGTTATATACGTATCTGTCTGAAAACTAACATGGAAGAAAGTAGTTAAAGCCTGTGCTTTTATGTGCAGTTATGGCGCAGACATACATACATATATGCTTGGTGCAGGTAAGAGGACTTTACCTATCACTTTGTGCGTGCTTATACGAAGCTTTGCCTGTTGAAGTAATCATAACCAAAAATCATAACCTGAAGCACAATTCGACTTAGCATGTTCAAAATCGAAAAAAAAAAAAATCTGTCTTCGATTAGTCTCTCTCTCCTTGTTTTCGGTCCAACAATCAGCTGGTTAGGTTAGGTTAGATCAGCTGAAGATTGCACGAGGATTGCTATACAAGTCTTGTATGTAGTCGTTTGTGAAGCCATAGAAAAGAAGAACTCCTGTGTTCGAAATTATAAATTTGTAAAACGTTTAGGAGCCAATACCAATATCCCCAGGCTTTTAAATTCGATTCCCGCCAGTGCGATGGGATGTCTGAAGATATGCGCTCCCAAGTGTTTAAGTCTTGACCTCCCAAACGCGGGACAGATCCAGTTAAAAGATCCACAACTAGGGCGTGGCTAGCCTCACTAAAGGAAAAAAGATAACTAAATTTCCTGCGATAAATCTTAGACCAAGAGGCTTTTGGGACAGCGCATTTGCCGATGGTTGCCCAGCGCTGGTCAAGCTTCCGCGAAACCCAGCTGTCCATAGCGGTTCTGGGGTGTATTTCCTTGCTATCTGTACTAGCTATACTATATATCTAGAAATGCCAATTTCATGTTCCGCCATTTTATATCTTTTTATTTGTACTTAATTGCTTTTAATTCCAGTGTTTTAGTTAGTAATATGAAAATTTCCCCTTGTAATTTTAAAAATATTTTTTTTTTTTTATAACTCCAATTTTTATATTATAAAATATTTTCTTCATTTTTATTAAAATATATTTGGGATTAGAATTTAAGCTATCGAATTTTTTGTGTTAGATAGAAAAATAAAATTTTCAAATTTTAATCCCAAATTAATTTTTTTAACGCATATATGTAATTTCAGCTTTTTATTTGAAAAATATTTTTTTTAATTACAATTCCAAGTTCTTGATTATAAAATATTAATTATAAAAAAGTTTTGAATTTTCTGTATTAAAATAAAAATCTTATTTCTACTTTACTTAATAATTGCTTTGCAGTTAATCAATTCCAATTCAAATGACAGAAGAGCAAGAACGATCATTCATTAACACACCACAGAGCAGCAATAACCAGAGAACGTGTAAATGGTATACGTTCTCTGCAATAACTCAACGATCTAAACAAAGAGCGTATACGATATAATTTACGTTCTTTACGAACGTACGAACTCATCAGAGAATCATGATAGACGTTCTTTGAACTCATGCACCGTTTTTCACCAAAACCAAAATTACTCAACACACTAAAATACACGCCATCAACAAGTGGCAAGGCGGTACGATCAGCTGTTCACCGAGTTTGCAAAGCTGGCGCGCACATCTGTCAGTTCACGTGCGAATTTGAGTTTGTTTACATCTATCAAAACAATTGTGAAATATTTATCTAATAAAACTCGCGTTCGGGAGTGCGGTTCGGTAAAATTGATAATTAAACTAGTGTAAATAAAGTGTTAATCGTTTATTTGTTTCCAACGCAATGTCGATTTTACTCGCGGATATCGATGCCACTTGCGCGGCGCTTGGCTATTACGATAACGAACGCTATTTGGCCGAGCCGGACGCATTGCAGGGCCTACGGGTATGTAGTTTGCCTTTAATAATGTTCACATTATAACTAAAACTCTTCCCATTTGCAGCATTTAATATGGATTTTGCGACGCGATTTGGAAAACCATGAATACCGTCGTCACTTGGGGCATGCCAAAGTCTTGCAAACAGATTTGGTGCATATGTTGCATGATTATGTGCACGATCCGGAATATACAGATGCGCTTGTGCGTTTAATGGTCATCTTAACAAATCCAACTTTGTTGCTATATCGCGAAGGACCACCAAAAGATTTCCATAGTCGTAAAGTTTTCATGGAATTGATTGAAATTTCACAAGGTTATAAGAGTGCCTTTACACAAGACAAAGTTTGGGTACCACTATATGGCATAATGAAAAAGGGATTGGAAATCGTAAGTATCCACAAGAGTGTGTGCTTTTTTTTATTGGCATTGTGTGCTTGTTTGTGAATAAGGGGTTGAAGTGAATGTCCTTGCAACTGAATGCACCACGAATGCATAATCAGAACGAGTTTCATAAACCAATGAACCATAAATAACAGCTGTTAAATGCAAATTTCGATAAAATTGTGCGTTGCTAAGCAATTTTTTTTCGAAATCTTTAGTGGTAATTGCAGCTTTTAAATGTTGTGCAAGTCTTTAAGTGGTTACGTATATCTGTAAATGTACTAATTATTCTTTTCTTCTACAAAACATATATGTATGTTCATATGTGCTACATTTTAACTGTTATCTGTCTATTATATGTGGTCTAATTTTCCTTTGGCGCCGACACACTTTATGTATCTTAAAGCTCTAAACGACATTAATCATTTTAAAAGAAAATTCAAATGTTCAATTTAAAAGTCGTAAACACGCCACTTCAGGCTATTTAATTATATTACTTCTGCACAATAGTAAACATAAATTATATTGAATATGCACCTTTGGGCATTTGAGCACACCACAGAGCTGCAACCCTCGATTTACCGCACAATTACTTAAGTACACATACAAAAGGAAGTAAATAATTGCAATTAAGTGCAAAGAAATATAATACAAATCTCTGTTAACTGCATTTTAACTTCAATTCAAATTTAACAAAATAATAAAAGCCTCAAGAATGGTCATTCAAATCATTAGCCCCAATTGCTAACAAAAACGCGCAGAAAGAGTAGAAAGCGAATAAGAAGTACACGAACAAGTGCATGAAAATTGGCGCCTTTGTGCAGTGAAAAAGTTAAAAAAGAAAATAAAATAAAAATTATAATGTAATGGCGAACCCAGTTAAGACCTTGGAAAATGGGAAAAAAGTGAGGACTAAAAACAGCGCCGCATTTTGCTTTTAGGCTTTAGCGCAGATTTGCTTGGAAAAAGTTTACTGCCGTCCATTCTGCACACCGTCACCGTTAGCCAAAAGACCAGAGATTCATTAGTATCAAGAAAAGAATTCTCCCTACACCAATTTGAATAGGTTGCCCTTTTTGTTAAAAATGAAAGCAAAATTTATAAAAGTGCAAAATGGTGGGTGCAAAAAATTTGAAAAAGAGGGTAGGAAAAATGCCGACAGACTTTGGCAAACAAATTAAAGGCATGAAAGACGTAGAGCGTTAAAAAAATGATACCAACAACAACAAGCAGTGGAAAACTTGTAATGCTGCAGCAACAAGCATAATAAAAAGAAGCACAAAACTCTATTAAAAACTAGCGCTGCAAACAAATACGCGAAAGCGCCATAAAAACTACTTACGTACATAAATATAGCATTTATAAAATTAATATATTTAAAAAAAGTTTGTTATCTTACCGCTGCGAAAACTTTGCAATAGGTTTCATATAAAAACATGCCAATGCGTCTGCCCCTGACTCAAATTAGCTTTATACTAGCGGCAGCGCTTCCATTTATTAGCTGTTATTTAGTGGAAATATAAAAAAATACTAACTGACTGTATGGAGCCCAGCGAAAGTTAAGCTCTTCTTAACTTCCTCCCTCAGTCTCTCTCCCCCCTATTGCTATCTAATTTATGTACTGGACCTCTGATATACTTGCTCGACGCAATTAAACGCCGCTCCTGCGCGGCATCAACTTTCTGCCTAGCCGCCAACTCCAGCGCTTGACATTAAGTCAAGGATTACTAAATAGTTTTATGGCTGACAGTGGCGCATTAGCAAATGTAAGCGAATTAATGCGCTAAAAAGTGCAAACGGTTCAAAAAGCAAGAAATAACGTTAATACCCTTCACAAATAAAAAAAATTTTCGATACAAAAACTAGTAGTCCGTTTTGAGTAATTTGTTCGAAGATTGTACCGTTATCTTAGAAAACAGTGCACGCCGTTCTCACGATAGCTGGGTCTACGTAACCGCAATGCTCCCGGGTATTTATCCGTTCAAGCAATATGAAATTCTGACACAATAACAACAGCAACGAAAATAATCCACGAAAAAATCCGGAAGTATATTTTGTCAAACAAAGTAACTTTTTCATATACGGGCTGGATTTTGGAGAATGGCTATGTTTGTCCGTTCTGAACGATTTTTTCGACGAGTGTACCATACTTTTAGATAGTAATCTATGGCAGATTTCGGTAAGATACCTTCTCAACTAAAAAATTTTCCCATACAAGGACCAGAGTTCAAACCAGTCAGTTTATATGGCAGGTATGTTAAGTAGGGTTCCGATCTGAACAATTTGTTTGCAGATTGTACGGTTGTCTTTAACAGTAATCCTTGTTTTCCGTACAAGGGATTTTTAATTTTGCTTGTTCAAATATGCATTATACGTTATAGTGGTTCCGACAAATGAACGGCTTCTTAAGAAGGAAAGACTTTAGAACAATTTCAGATTGATATCTCGAAAGACGGTCAGACCGATGTGTAGTCAGACCGTTCCCGCGACAGTCGGGTCTACGTAACTGGAACGGACTCGGATTTCTATCCGGCCAAGGACTGACGAATCTTCAGCATTCGTCTAAATTACTTCAGAAAGGTTTGCCGTTACAACAACAACGAAGGACAGACGGAAGGAATTGTCTATATCGACTCAGCTCGTCACACTGATTATACATGCATATATACTATACTTCATAAGGTCTTCGATGTCTCCTTTTGGGTAAAACAAACATCCTGTCAAACTTAATACACCCTGTTCACGGTATAAAAAAAGTCTGCTATGCATAAGTTTTAAGTTTTTAATGATTTTTATGCGTTCGTTTATATTTAAACTTTTTTTTGCCTTAACTGCTATATTTTGCTTTCTTTCTTTCTTTTAATTTAATGCTTTTCTTTCTTTGCATTTATTTCAACTGCAAAACTGGCTATTTGCTGCCATTAAAAGGATTAATTAAAGAGTTCGCCACGTACAGCCGACCCGATGTCTGATAGCCACTGCGAACAACTCATAGTGCGAGGCAACATGCACTGACCCATCATCAGTGAGATTACTCCGCACGATTTAAATATTTTTCGCCATTTGCTATACAGTCTTTTATGCGCTGTTGAAAATGTATTTTTTTCAACTCTGTCTGATTTTTTGTTGTAATTTTTTTTGAATGCTTTGCATTGCATATACCCACTGACATTGCACTAAATATAATGGGTGACCTCTTTGCCGGCCGCGACAGCGCACTTGTTGGCTAAAGGCTGCCGTGCCAGCGTCGCATCAGCATTTTTTACACGGTTGACATTTTAATTGCATTCTGTTTGTAAAAATCACAGCCACTTGATAGCGACGGTTGATAAAAAACTTAAATTTGCCACATAATAAAATAGAAATGCAATTTTTATGCTCTCAAGCTGCATTAAAACTTTGCCGGCGCGACAGTTGACAGCAGGATTCTTGGTCGCAATGGCATTGCGCACGCCACAAATTGTGGCAAATTGTCCATATAAAATGTTAGTCGACTTCAGAATTTACTTGCTGCTAGGAAACTTGTAATTAAAAGTACAATACTTTAATATTTAAGTAAATGTTAGTGTGGAGGCATTAAAATCTTGGTGGATAAAATAGAAAAAAAAAAAATTATAAACAGCGCGTTGTTGTTGGAGTAGCAGTATAAATATACGTATTTTTTTCGAAATTTTGCTAAGTACTGTCACCTTCGTCTAATATAAATAGGAGCAAGTTATGCTCACGTAGACCAAACTGTAGTTGAAAGATACATATCCACATACAGTGTATTTTTTATATTAGTATACGTGCATATAAAAATGAGTACATACGAGTACATATACATAAGTATAGTAGGGTGCTTCAAACAAATTTGTTTGAATTTTTTTCAACTCTTACCCCCCTCAACTTAACTCTAAAGGGTCGCTATTTTCTATGTTCTCATTCACTTAAGGGGTATTCTACTCTAGAAATCAAATTTTGGGCAGGTTTTTGAATATTATAAAAAAAAAAACCAAAAATATGTTTACTATCCATTTTTTATGGTGCTTTTTTTTATAGATAACTTAAGAATACAGAAAAAAAAATTTTACAAAAAAATATTAAAAATTAAAATAATTAGAGGGGGTGGTTCACAAGTGTAAAAAAAAGAAATGGCGCATCCCGGCGACATTGATCCTGACTCTCTTGGTGGTCTGAAAAAAAAGTCAAAAGAAATTCTTAATCAGTAAGAATGCTGTTATAGTCCCTACCTCAGAGAACACGCAAAAAATATTGTCTGAAAATTTTTGAAATTTGTTACGCTTTTTTTTTGAAATTCCTGAATTTTTTTAAAATATTAAAAACAAAGGATTAAAGATTATATAAAGATAAAGGATTATATAAAGAAGGTTCACACAAAATTTCAAGTAATTCGGTTGTATAGAACTTGGGATAATGCCGGTACCGTGTGGGAAAAAGTTGTTTCGAGAAAAACGCGTATAAAAAAGTGAGTCTACCTACCTACCGGGCTAGGTACAGCGTCACTAAAGTAACTGTAGGATATGTTCTTAAGGGCCTTAACTTTAAATGCATGAAACAAAAAATCGAATTTTTCAAAATTCTAGAGTAGAATACCCCCTTAACATAGGAATTTTCGTTTTTTCATTGAATCAAAAATTTCACCAATTAATTTTCGTTTCTCAAAAATAACCATCACATATTCAGAAAGTTGACTTTTCAAACTTTAAAAATTCTCCAGACAGTGCGCATTTAAACTTTCCCCTATAAAATCTCTAAATGCGTTTTCTTTCTTAAAAATAGTTAAAAAAAAAAAAAATTAAAATAAAAAAAAAAATTAAAATAAAAAAAAAAAATAAAAACTTTTTCAAAACCACACAGATCGCATTTCCAACTGCGAATCAGAATCGTAACAAAATCAAATGGTTGAATCGCGGTCGGTCGGCGMGGTGGTCTACTCGGGATTCCGTGTCAGGAAGGTTTGCTATATGTTTGGCAGGGAATCGTCAACAATGGCTGTTCCTCTC